GTTGTACATGTCAAAAACTGTCGTAAGTCCCTTTTTTCAATGCTGTTGTAACTTTGAATGGTCACTAAATGAACTGTTGTATGTTGAGGACTATTTATACATGCAATCTTCAACTTACAATAGTCCATTTAGTAACCATTCAAAGTTACAACAGCATTGAAAAAAGGGACTTACGACAGTTTTTGACATGTACAACCATTGCAGAATCCCCATGGTCAGATGGCTGGCAACTGACTCATATTTATGACCATTGCAGTGTCCCAGGGTCATGTGCTCACCTTTTGCAACCTTCTGACAAGCAAAGTCATTGAGGAAGCCAGATTCAACCATGTTACTGACTTAACTGCAGTGATTCACTTAACAACACTGGCAAGAAAGGTTGTAAAATGGAGCAAAATTTGCTTAACAATTGTTTCACTTAGCAACAGAAATTTTGGGCCCAATTGTGGTCATAGGTCAAGGACTACCTGTATATTTTACGAACAGTTGCAGTTGTTTTCTAAAAGGTGATGATTTTTTAGATAACCAGAAACAAAGTAAAATGATAAAAAAGTAGAAGGGATAAGGTAAGGTAAAGGTTCCCAGTCGTTCCCGACTCTAGAGGGCATTGCTCATCTCCATTTCAAAGTTGAAGAGCCAAGGCTGTTCGAAGATGTCTCCATGGTGATGTGGCCGGCATGACTAAATGCCGAAGGCGCACGGAACGCTGTTACCTTCCCACCAAAGTGATCCCTGTTTTTCTACTTGCACTTTTACATGCTTTCGAACTGCTAGGTTGGCAGAAGCTGGGACAAGTAACAGGAGCTCACTCCGTTATGCAGCACTAGGGATTCGAACCACTGAACTGCCGGCCTTCTGATTGTTAAGCTCAGTGTCTCAGCCACTGAGCCAGTGTGTCCCTGGTAGAAGGGATAGAATTGTACAAACAGACTTTCATGAACATTTTCTCTCTTCATTTCCCCCCCATCTGGAGGCCCTTTTAAATATGCTCTGGAAGACAGGAATATCCCTTGGAAAATATTCCGAAAAATTCCCAGAGACTTATGGGAGAAATGGATATTTATTTCCCATTCTACTCTCCAACGAAAATGGGTTCTGCAAATAAAAGCATATCATGGATTCCATCTCCGTTATAATGATCTTATTTAATTAATGAAATATATTACAGCTAATATATGTGGGCTATAAAATAGAGGATGAGCTTATACAATCAGAAAATCTAAAATAAATCATAAGTGTTCCTATAAACTGGGCATCCCTTAAATTCTTCATACTCACTGAAAAAATGACTTTAGAAGTCAGGAACGTATCTGACTAAATTGGTAAACACAGAGGTCAGTTTAACCTTGGGTTTGATTAGACACATAATTAGACAAAGCAATTACCTCCACAGAAAGCTTACATCTGCCAAGAGGTTGGCTACTTGCCAGTCTGCTTCTGAATTGAACCAGAGGTTGTGATTTGTCGAGTTAGCTGTCTGTCAGCTGCTGGACATTCTATTAATGTGCCCTGATGCTTTGGCAGATTAATGAAGATGCTGACCTTGGTAATTTGGTAGACTTGTGTTGCTAGGGTGAACATCTCTGTGGCTTTGCTGCTAAACAACTGGAAGTCTTGGATATTTGGAAGGCTTGCCTAGATAATATTGATAGCCATATGCTCAGCAAAAATCCAGAAGGTGTGGTATTGTGAGGATCTAAATCCTTTGATCTTGGATGGACTCAATTTAATCCATAAATAAATTATATGCTGCAAATTTCCATAGGACATTTTTTTTGTCTCTTCAAATCAGTGTTGGCTCCTGGTAATTGCCTGGAAAAGTCCCTGCAGTTTTCTTGGCAAGATTTCAGAAGAGGTTTGCCTTCTTCTGAGAGCTGAGAGAGAGAATGTAATTGGCCCAAAGTCACCCAGTTGGCTTCATATCAAAAGTGTCCTGATTTCTAACCTTATGCATTAACCACTACACCAGGAGTCCCCAAACGTGGCAGCTTTGAGACTTGTGGACTTCAGCCCGCAGAATTCTCCAGCCAGCTATGCTAGCTGGAGAATTCTAGGAGATGAAGTCCACAAGTCTTAAAAGTTGCCACGTTTGGAGACTTCTATACTACACCAAATTGACTCTCTTACAGGGCCACTAAGACAGATTTAAACATGCTAGACAAGTATTAGGCTCTGATCTGCCTTCTAGGCTTAATCTTAAAGCTGGGAGTTGAGGCTTAAAAGTATACCCTAAAGAGGTTTTTATCGTTGTTTGTAAACTTCATTGAACTGGGATGCCAAACTGATGGCGAGGCTGCTGCTCTGCTCCTTGACTGCCATCAAATAATTCTGAGCGACAGAGACCACGTAAGATAGTTTACTGCCTGAGGGAATTCAAAGGTGTCTCTCCAATTCTCATTTCATTTCTAAAAGATAGAACTGACACTCTCTTTGGACAGGGAGTTTCACCAAATGTTTTCAACAAAGACAGTTCTATCATCCAACACCTGTTATCCCACTTTAAAACATCTGCTGCAGGGGTGGGTTTCAGCCAGTATTATTGCTGGTTCGCATGCCCGCACGCTTTGGGCACGTTCTGGATGCATGCTGTGCATGCATGCGCACTTCAGTGGAAATTGTTCTGCGCATGCACAGAACTAACAAAAAAAGATGGTGACAGCGATAGCAGCAACTGGGGAACAGGTTCAGGGGCATGGCCAGCCTGGATCGCTGCTGGTTCTGTGACCCAGGGCGGCATACCACTACCGGTTTGGCTGAACCAGGCTGAACTGGTAGGAACCCGCCTCTGATCTGCTATTTGGGAAAAACAGTTCACCCTCCTAGAAAAATGTAGAATAGGATGTGTTAATATAGACACCTCTGAGGGGTTCTGATGGTGTTCTAATTCACCATAATTTCATCCTGCAATAATGAGGAGTGTAAACTCTAATGCCTGTGTAAGCTCTTCTTTTTTGCAAACAAATCTATACCTATGCTAAAATAATTAAAAATCTGATAGCCTTTTATTTCATCCTTTTGCCTACAAACATAGGGAAAGTTTGGTTGCGACAGAGTTTAAGACTTAATGTCCTTTCTTTTGGGGTTTCATGATGATCTACTAATGGGAAAAGCTTTTGCTCAAGTCGAGATGAAAGCTGTTTTTGACATTCCCAAAGGATAAATTTATAGTCTTGAGCTGTCATCCCTGGTATCCACCATGCACTTTGTCCAAATATAAACTGAATACTTCAGCAAGCTTCATAAATAATTGCTTCAAGGATATAGCATGAGCTCACCAGCTCAAAGATATTCTGAATCCTTTCTCCCGCCAACTGTGAATTAAAGTGAGTGTTTTAAAAGATGAGGGAGATAGATAGGTCTTTCCATGGCTATTAGCCAAAATATTACATGAAACTTTCACATTCAGGAGCAGTTAGTAGCTACTCAGTCCCAGTTGTTGGGGTGTAGTAGTAGTAGTAGTAGAGGAGGGCAATGGATTCTGTCCAAGTCTGTCCTGTAGACTTTCAGAAGTTCCTCCTTGTGAGTTTCCTGGATGTTTCAGTTAGACCCATGGACAAATTAATGGGTCTTGTTTACTGACAATTCTTTGTCAGAAATATTCTATATCCTAGGTCTAGGTTATGAGCTAAATGCCAAATTGTCATAATACACTGATACCATTCTTATTTCCAGATATGACTGACATTTCTTTGAAATGGGATGTAGTACTCTGGGTCTAACAAATGACATTCTGTCTCATTCTTGATGCTTTTATCTCTTACCGTGTTTCCCCGAAAATAAGACAGGGTCTTATTTTCTTCTGACCCCCCCCCAAATAAGCACTTGGCCTTATTTTTGGGGAGGTCTTATTATTTTTGAGTTGCAGGAGGTGGCAAGCATGGTCACCTCTAGGCTGCTGCTGTATTGCAATATTTTCAGGGAGAGCTTATTTTGGGAGAGGGCTTATTTTAGCGTTTGCACTCAAAAGCCCAATTGGGCTTATTATCTGGGGAGGTCTTATTTTCAGGGAAACAGGGTATTAGTTTTTTATCTCTTCTTTTTCTTTCTTTCTGAGTTTAGTTTCCACAACCCCACTTCATGGTGCCAAATCAAAAAACCCTTTTAAAGTAGATTTCAATTCCAGCTCTAAAAAGTTGTTCAGGATGGCACACTCCTGTTCATTATCTCTGAATAATGCTAAAAATACAGAAGGATAATTTTCAAATATGGAAGAAAATGCTTAGCCTGGAGGCCATTTAAATTTTAAGAAAATATAAAGTGGCCTTTCCAAACCTGGGATAGATTTCATTTTCTATGACCCCACTTGCCCACAGAGTTAATTTATTTTGTCTGTGGAATTACAGGAGTTGAAATCTAACATGGCATAGAGAAATAAATTCAGGGTTAGTTTTGGGGACAGAAGTTTTTATCTTAATATATGACACATATTTACCATTTAAAAAAATATATATAACAAAAGATTCTTACCGTGAACTTCCAAATCAAAAGAACAGCTATCAACTTTATCCTTATATGTTACTTCACATCTATAATTTCCTGCATAATTGTCCTTAGCTTTGATTATTTGCATCTCAAATGTATACATCTGAAACCCAAAGGTATAATGCAATCATTCATATAAAATCGCAAGAATAATTGGAAACTAAACACATCTACTTATGAGCATCTTGTATTTCGACACAATGAAACAGATTGGTTTTTTGCTTGTTTTTCACATTTTTTAGTTGTCTTAATTTGCCATACTAATCTGTTAATAATTGATTCCCAAAACCACATCTTGACCTTCTCACCACCCAGAAGATGACAATTTTGAGTCTTCCAAACTGGATTGCAATTATTCTGATTCCAGGTCTGTTATAACGTCTCCTTTTGATCACAGCAATTTCCAATTTCCCAGCTTTATGAGCTCACAATTTGCCTGGGACCTATGTCCTATGGATTGAGTCTAAAACAAGAGTATCAAACTCGATTTTATTGAGGGCCGCATCAAGGTTGTTTGACCTTAAGAGAGCGTGGCCAGTATAGGCATGGCCAGAATGACATCACTCATGTTAGGGGGGTGCCTATAGTAGTCCAAGCACTCTGCCAGTGAAAATGGGCTCCCAAGCTCAATTTTCGGCTCTGACACCCTCCTGCGACCCTCCACAAGTTAAAATGGAGCTCGGGGGTGCTGAACAAGGTCCTCCTGAGCTCCATTTTTGCTGGCAGAGGCACCACAGGTTGATTCTTCACTGTTCTTCTTCTTCACTGTCCAGGGCAGCCTCATGGGCCAGATCCTAGCACCCCATGGGATGGATCTAAGCCCCCACGGGGCCAGATTTGGCCCCTGGGCCTTGAGTTTGCCATTCCCTGGTCTAAGACAATCCATAACTGTATAATCACAAAAATCACTTTGATCAATAAATCCCATACCATCTTTCTATTTTTCCAAGCATGTGATTTTAGACAAAGGCTCCTACCCACCACCATTGAATTGTTTTCTTTAGGGATATGTTTGTTGTGGTGCTAACATTTGTAGATTAGTAGAATTACAAATGACAATTTGGTGCAAAACTTGAGGATATTTTTTTTTAAAGCGAATATATTTTGAATCGTATACTTTGAAAAAGGTCATCTTTCTATATATACCTTGGTTAGTCGCTCAAATGTTTCTTTTAACTGAAGATGCTTTCCAACTTTGCTTGCCAAGTCCATCCATTTTCCTTTAAACCACTTAACAGTGGGTTTCCGAAGAAGATCCTGAGCTTCTACTTTGGCTGTGAATGTGATACTTTGCCCTGAAAACAAGCAAGACAACCAACGTAAATCAAAATAGAATTAACCAATAGGGAATATCTGACACATGTAAATGAGATTTAAATACCCATTTCTAAAGCTAGAAAGACTGAAAAGCACACAATGGAAAAATGATAGTTAAAAAATTTGCAGAAAAGGCAAAATTAGACTTGTTTAATTAGGGAATAACAAATTCCCTAACAATAAAAATCTTAGACAGTAACATTGGTCAGTGGCTGAAACCCCTTATGAACTTTTTGCCATAGCTGGAAAAAAATAAACTTGTTCTTTATGAGATTGATATTTGGAAAGAGCAGAATATGGAATGAAATGAGTTCCTCTATAACTATAGAGAGAGAGAATATAATAGAAATGTGTTTGTTCTAAAGAAAACCAGAAGCTACTTCTTTATATCTCGTTTCTCTTTTTTCTTTCTTTCCTTATTTATTCATCTCTTGTCAAGATTGAATTGCTTTGCTTCTTTCAAATCTTAATGGTTTTCAACTTGCCAATGAACTGGGGGTGGTGGTGATGGAATGTGGAGAATGTATGCAGAGATTGTGAGAAGCCATTAAGGTGATCACTGCAGATGCCTGAAAAAGAGATGGCCTATTCCCATAACAAAAGAACATCTCATAATTGGACAATGTAATCATCCAGGGTTAGGGAGAAGGAGAAAGTATTGTTTAACTGGGCATGTATTTGGGCAGGAAACCAGATGTGGTTTTGTTTCTTCAATACCAAAATGATGTATCCAATAAAGTTTTACTTTTGGGAATTCAGTTTTCCAGAGAGCGTTTCTTTGTTGTGGGTTCGCTAATTGGACAGTTTTCTTTTGGAAATTTCTTTTCTTTTTACTTTACTTTCTTTCTTTTTGTTAAACTTTTATTGTTTTTACTTTGTAAAAAAAACATCCTCTTTTAATAATTAAAGAGACTCAAAAAGCGAGTTATTTGTTTCATTATTTTTTTGTATATAGAGTTAATCCAACAGAAGAAAACCAGAACATGTTATTAAACTATGACTGGTTTGTTTCATGAGATATGGGGGAGGGGAATGATATCCAGCTCCTATCTACGGATCAGATCATTGCTAGAGAACAGGAAAAGATTTACATGTATAATTTCAATCTTGCATTTACTTCAATGGTGGGTTCCGGATCCCGTAGCAAACAGTACGGTGCAACGGGGCCGGGCGTCCACCACATGCATGCATGCAGCACGTGTGCAGCACGCGCATGCACACTTACTGCCCGCGATACTCTGCGATGGCTCCGTGATGCTCCAGCTGCTCGGTGGAACGTCGCACAGGCACCATATGCTCTGTGTGCATGCGTGTAAGCCCCAATTGGCTCAAACACAGGTAAGGAGGGTGGTTGTGCCTTCTGGAGGACTGTACCAGAATGGTATGCCCGTATTGGCCGTACCGATTGTATCCCACCACTGGTTTACTTCCAATAACTGGGATGATGGAGGGATTTTTTAAGCTTCTTAAAAGTAACAGATTCACCTTCTTTTAAAAAGCTAAATGAAGCTGCTGCAACACTTTCCAAGTTGTTTAGAGGTTTTCTTTAAGATTTCACCTATATTGCTTTCCCCTGCTGCAGAGGTAGTAGAGGAGGCCCCCAGAACAACACTGAAGTGCCACAATTAGGCAAACTGCAGCATTGCTATACCTCTATGACATGAAATATAGTGTACAAATATACTGAAAATGGAAGGATATGGAAAGAAGAAAAGACATCAAAGGAAAAGTACAGGTAGATAGTCCAAATGTCAGAAAAACAATTGGCAAAAAGAAAATGATCAGCAAGTAACATGAACTTCAGTAGGGACCAACGTAAAGTTCTTCCCTTAACACACACACACACACACACACACACACACACACACACACACACACACACACACACACAAACACATGCACTAATATAGGATGGGATAACTGTACTAGTCAGAGGTGGTATTCAGCCAGTTCGAACCGGTTTGCCTGAACCGGTAGCAGAAATGCCCGCCCACCTGCCCCGGCTCTATGCCGTCCTACTTAGGCACCTTTTTGAGGCTGGGCACATGCATGGAAGGCACGCACATGAGCAAAGCGCATGCACGGAAAGCCGGGTGCATGTGTGCAAGGTGCCTACATGCCAGCTTCACGTGTTCATGCGTGTGAAGTGGGCACGCAGGGTGAACCAGTAGTAACAAAATGTGCAACCCATGGTTGTTACTAGTGTATAGTTAACCGTATAGGATGGGATAACTGTACTGGTGTAAAATGGCTTAGAGAAATAGGAGATTTGCAAATTGAACATGGACTAGCAGAGAGATGAGAATGCAATTTGAGGTTGGATCATCAGGAAAATTCTGGACACCAGACTTTAAGGACTGAGAGAAATTGATATAGGTTCAGAGAAGGACAATGAAAACGATCAAGGGATTAAATGATAAATCCTATGAAAAGAGATTTAAAGCGGTGGTAAATTTAGCCTTGAGAAAATATGCCTGAGAGGAAACATGATAGTCCTCTTACAATGCTGAAAAGGATGTCACCCTGACGAAGGTCAAGACATGTTCTTCTCATTCTGGGTGTAGGACATGGAAGAATAGCTTCAATTCATGGACAAGAGATTCTGATTGAATGTTGGCGGTGGTTGGTTGGTGATAGAATATGATTCTATCAGTGCATTATATCCACATTCAGTGACTAGAGGTGCCTGAGCAATGCTAATTCATAATCACAGTGAGCTTTATCATGAACCATATCATGAATACACATGCAACCTAACCAGGGGTGGGTTGCTGCCAGTGTTGCTGCCAGCATTGTTGCTGGTTCACTGCGTGTGTGTGTGTGCAGTTGACGGTAAATTATTCTGTGCATGCCCAGAACATGAAAAAATTACTAAAAACATGATGGCAGCGGTGACCAGGGAACCAGTTCAGGGGCGTGGCCAGCCTGGGGCACTGCCGGTTCTGCGACCAAGGCCAAAATACCACTACCGGTTCACCTGAACCGGTGCAAATCGGTAGCAACCCACCTCTGAACCTAATCCTATAAATGTTTACAGAGAAGTAAGTCCTTTTTTGCAATATAGATATGAACAGGGTTGCAGGTGCAATTGTTCTTTTTACACTTACCTACACTAATTGAGCCACCTTTTGGTTTTTCAACAAATAAAACAGATTTCTGGGAATCTTGTTTTTCTCCTTCTTCTCCTGCAGAGAATACTAGTATAGAAAACAAGGGAAAATAGCCATTATCAGAATGAACCTATTAAGTAAGCAATGCTTACCTAGGATTCTGTTTAGCATTAATGTAACTTCTTAAAAATAGACATGCACTCCCTATAACTGTATTTCAAGTAAGATAAGGTTACTGAGATAAGGAAAGTGTTATACAGAGCACACATTTATGAATGGAGTAGAGTTTTGTACTAGTGATATGAGTTTTAACTGTATGTTACAGTCTTTACAGTAGTCTTTACAATTTGAATGGCTTCATTGTTTCAGTAATGAACACAGAATACTTCCTTGTGTTTCAAGTCTTAAGACACATAGCATGGTGATACCGTCTCAGTTCTAAGTTGCACCCAACTGTGGAATGAAAGTGGAGTCTTGGGAACATCCATGCTAGGCTTCAAAGTAGACAGTTAAACAAAATTCTATCTGTTGAGCTAAAACAGGGGATGACAATCTTAAACACTCAAAGAGCCATTTGGACCCATCTCCCACAGAAAAGAAAACATTGGGAGCCACAAACTCTTCCCAAGCCTGACTATTTTCTGAGCAGCCACAAAACTAGCATATGTAGTTGAATTAAACATTCTGTTTTCTTTTCTTGGATTTATACATGGTTGGCCAAGAGGGGTTGAAAAGCTCAATAAATTGCATGCCGCACATTGGCGGTTGTGACACATATTTTGAGCGACAGGGAGCCACAGCAGATGGAGGAAAAGGCCACATGCGGCTCCAGAGCAGTGGGTTGCTGACCCCTGAGCTAAAAGAAGTGGAGAACCTAGTGCTGAATGATGGCCAGGTCCCTATTGGTATAATATTGAGCAACAGTAAATAAGTCTTTCAATTTCTAATCAACCTTGTCTGAGTAGAAAAATTAAGGTAGGTTTTGTTTTTTTTGCATAATAAAATCATCCATATTAATTGCTACAAGAGTTATCCTGCTGGGAAAAGCTGTCTTCCATCCTTTCAGTATAAGACAAATTGATTACATTTTTTTGCATGCATAGATATATGTTTGTTCTGTACAAGATATGAATTTCTGGATTAGAGTCTAGGTAGATGTATGCTACTGGAATCTAATGTAGAACATAGTCCTATAGAAAGTTTCATGTTAATGTATATCCTATGGTCATAGTTTTATGGTCTTCTAACCAACTTGGTGGGGTTGTGAATATTAAAGTCTGAGTCATCCCATGAGGGGAAAAAAGTAAGCTGGAATAGCCATTTTAATTTTTAAAAAATCTGCAGAGGAATTTCAAGAACCGGTAAAGAATTCTCTTATGCCACACTTTTCATTTCATTCTGCAACAGATTTTCTTTCCAACTTTTGTCTCTCTATATAGATCATGGACAATTGATTTTGATTGTTGCTTATAACAAGTATACAAGTATATCCCCAAAGAACGATGACTAGATGGATGAATGTACCAAACCTTATCATATTTCTATCTATATCAAACGCATGATATACTACACTATATGGCAAAAATTTCATATGCACTTTTTATTGTCAAGTGTTGCTACTATATGTCTTAATCCATCAACAACCAGGCTGCTCTATGCGTTTCTCTGTGAAGGAACTCATCTTTAGAGATAAATTCCTTCTTTCAGCTATATACTTCAGGAATTATATAATTCTATACAGTAATTATATATAGAAAATAGCTCGAGTACATAACTTCTATGTGGAATATAATGCATTTGATAATCAATTTAAAAGTATAATTTTAAATGTTTTAGCATTCTGATAAACAAATCAATAAGAAATAGCTCCCCAATTATGAAATATTTAAAAAAGATTTTGTTTTAATATTTCCACTGCAAAAACGAATTACAGTGGTATATGAATAAAGGTCCATCTTTAGTTTTTCCAAATCCATTTCTTATATCACAGCTAATTTGTTACACCACTGTGCACTAATCTACTCCAAAGCTTCATATGATTGGAGGTTTCTAACTTCACATCAGAAACAAAGGCGAAGAGTCCTTGATCATAAGAAGCTATCTTGCACATTAGGACTTCAGGAACCTTTGAAACAGGCTTTTTATCTAGAGCTGTTAAAAAAAAAAAAAAACCAAGAAGAAAAAGTTATAATAAGCATAAGTCACTTGCAACTGAAAATGGACGCTACAAAAAAAACCTGTTAATAATAAAAATTGGAATGTTTTGAGTTTTGTCTTCTTCTTTTCAGATTTAGCATATCTCACCTGAGTCCTTTCTCTCTCCAGGTTTATTTGTACCATCTGAAAAGTAAGCATAAACTGGATAATATCAACATTCAAAAGTTATTGTCCTGATTGCTTAATTGTCTATGCAGAACTGTGGACCTTTCATATTTTAAAAGAAAGGAGGAAAATTATAGGTTGTAATGAATTGTTTAAGAGGACAGTGGGAGGTATATCATTTGGTTGAAGCTGAGCAGATGGGGCCTTTNGGGAGGAAGCCTGAAAATTATATAGACTTTTTAGAAATCTTAAACTTGCAGGAGTATTTTTATTAAGTGAACCATTCTGCACAAATTGGTTCTAGGAAAACAGAGTTGTATGAAATATAGATAGTAAATTGTGCTAGATATATGGCACATGTGACATTGCTTCTGTGTGAGCTGTATTGGTTACTGGTGTGTTGCTGGGTGCGATTCAAGATGCTGGTTTAGAGCCTGGACCTGGGTTATCTAGGGGGTTGTCTTTTTTTCAAAGAGTTTCTACCCATCTGACATGATCTAGCAGAGTGGGCATGCTGCAGATCCTGTCAACCAAAGAGTTTGAGCTGGTGGGGACCAGAAAATTGGATTTTTCCACAGTGGCCCCTGCTCCATGGAACATTCTCCCTCTGGAGATTAGGATGGCCCCAACCCCATTAGTCTTTCACAAAACCTAAAGCTAAGGGCCAGGGTGGCTCATGTGGTTAGAATATGAAGTTAGAAGACCATTGAGAGGTCAACAACTTGACAGTTCAAAACCTGACAGTGAGTTGAGTGACAGAATGAGCTCCCATCAATTTGTCCCAGCTCCTGCCCACCTAGCAATTTAAAAGCATGCAAATGCAAGTAGAAAAATAGGTAGCACTTTGATGGGAAAATACTGGGGATAGGAAAGGAGTTTCCTCAGGCATTCCCTGGGCAACGGTGATGTTACCAACTAATCTTTTCAACCCAGAAACACTTTAGGTGCTTCCAACATTAAAAAAAACAGTAGGCCCTAAAAACCTGGCTATGTTTCCAAACCTAAGGTACTGCACATGTCAAGGGCCTGTTTTATTCATTTATCTGTATCTGTATCTGTATCTGTATCTCTATCTGTATCTGTATCTGTATCTCTATCTCTATCTCTATCTCTATCTCTATCTCTATCTCTATCTCTATCTCTATCTCTATCTC